GTCTTGTTGCGCCTATCTATTGGTCTCGTGCCAGCCGCTGAAAACCCTCAAGGTTTCGCGTTTAGGCTTTCGTGCTTTCTCCGCCACTGGGTCGGCGGACTGAGCCGGAGGCTCTTAAGTATTTACAAGCACGAACTTGTTGTGCAGAGCTGGAGGACTGAAATTCCAACGCCCCGGCGCTTGGCAGCGAAAATGGGGTATGCATATAAGAATATGTAAGCTCTACACTCTAAACCCCAAACCTTCAGTAAACAGCAAGCCCAAGATCCTAAACTCCATGAGCCCTGAACCCGAAACCCTCAATAAACCCTAAAGCCTAAACCCTAATTTAACCCTAAAGCCTAAACCCTGATTCAACCCTAAACCCTAAACCCTTATTCAACCCTAAACACTGCTTAGGGTAATTTCACATCCATGTGCTGGTTTTGACTAAACCCTAAACCCTCAACCTAACCCTAACCCTAAACCCTAAACATCACCGAGCAACCCACTGGCACCATCCCACGCAGCTTCCATTTGGAGGAAGTGCGGGTCCATCCTGGTTTAGGGTTGAGCAGTTTCCGTGTTTAGGGTTTAGCAACTCTGGGCTCTATAGAGTTTAGGGTTTTAGGGTTTAGGGTGTTAAGGGTGGGGGTTGAAGCTTTTGGATTTGGGGTTTAGGGTGAGACTATAGCTCACTTGAGTTCCTCAACGCCCAATACTACTACAGCCCCTGCATGCCCTCAGTTTCCATTGAATTTCCGCGTCCGTTTCCACTTGACTTGCCACCTTACCCTGAACCCTGCCTAAAGTTAAGCCAATGACCATATTGCAGGAGCAATACATATATATATATACATATATATATATAGCTATATCTATTTCTTTCCTATACAGAAACATGTAATGGCAGCGTGCTCCAGGCCCCAAGCCCTAAACCATAAAACCCTAAAACCTTAAACCCTAAACCCTTAACCCTGAACTCTAAAACCTTAAACCCTAAACCCTAAGCCCTAAACCCTTAACCCTTAACCCTGAACTCTAAAACCTTAAACCCTAAACCATAAGCCCTAAACCCTTAACCCTGAACTCTAAAATTATGGGCCCTAAACCTTCAAGGTCAACCCAGCATCCGGCGTCTGTCCGGAACAGCCGCGACAGTTGGGGGTATACGTCCACGAAGCGGTGGGAACCTTGATTGAGGTTTAGGGCTTTGGGTTTAGGATAGGGTTTAGG